TTTCTGGGCTAAGAAACCACAAGGATAACTCTTGACTGTGGAGCTAATATTCCCCTTCCTTTGGCTATGAAGTATCCATTGAGGCTTTCCACACTCTTCCCTCCCAGGAATGGAAATTTTGGCTCATTCAAGGCAGCCTGTGACTTTTATAGCAATTGGGCTCTTGGGAATGATGCTTAGAGATTCCGCTGAATATGTTTGGTCTATAGTCTGATATACTAATGTGCAGTGGGCTTTTCCCCAGCAGAAGTTTAATTGGATCACAGCCTGAACATATGGGACTCTTCCTCAGCTTACAGATGGGACAGAGACCCAGTTTTTGATTTATTTTCTTCATTTTCTCACCAGCAGTTACGAAGGAAAATTATCTACCCCCTCCAGGGCAAGATTGACTACCCTTTGCTTCATTGCTGTGGGTGGGAAGGTCTTAACTACTGAGGTGGTGCAATGTGAGAGGCTGGGAGCTAATTGGGTGAGGTCTCTTGGCTCTATTATTCTCTGCTATAGAGCAGAATTAGTGAGGCCTGAAAGGTTGGTGGTTGGTTAGTGACAGATCATACTTCTCTGATGAAAAAGTTGCCTAGCTGTGGAATGAGGATCCACAGTTTTCTGAAATTTATGGAGTTCTTAGGTTCCATTATATTTTGTGCAGCATTGGTTACTTTAACGTGAGCATATCATTTTACAGGGCTTTTTTTCTGTTTTTTCTTTTCCAAAAAAATGTGTTTGAGCACTATTACTGATGTTTTCACAATACTGCTATTTCCCTTAGACAAAGAACTATACAATCACTTTACCTCCCAAACTATATTTTGTTCGATAAAGAATAAAGCTAACAGATTAGAGATGTGAACTGTTCAGACTTTGCAAGTTAAGCTCTGTAGATCAAAGTGTGACTTAGGTGAATTGCTTGATATATCAGTGTTGACAAGCCATGACCAATTATGTCAAAACAAGTATATATCTGTGTCACCCAAAGAAAATATATAGAATTTTGTCGGATATTTTAGTCAGATATTTATATGTTTTTCTGAGGATGTTTTCTATATAGTTTAATATTAAAGAGTGTGGGCATAGATTTTATTCTTGAGGTAGACTACAGTTTTTAGCATATGGTAGTAATATTAATTTGTTTTGTAATATGGCTATTAGTAGACAAACTTTCTCATCTGCTGTGGTTACCATAGTAAGGAAGGAATTGTACCACTGTTGATTTTTCTGGTCTGATTTTAAATCAGTCTGGCCTGTCTGAAATCAAAATCAATTGTTCCATTTATTTTGGAAAGATGGGGCTTCTTAAAGCATTCAGGGAAATTTTTCTTTCTCTGTAGATCATAAACAAGTCTGCTTATTATTATTCCTAATAATTTTCAGTGCTGTAGCTGCATAGTCATTTTGAATTATGTTTCACTAAACATTTTTTGGTGTATTGATATACTTAATATTGGTATCCCAAATCTCAATTAATTTTAAGGTTTTGGAGAAAGTTAGTGAACCATGCTGTCGAAGGTTGGCACATTGATTTTACGTTTTGTTTAAAGAAAACCAACAGTTCTGTATATTTTCTAAAATGTATCTTTCTCACTATGAAGAAAAGTTGCTTCTAAAAGGAGAAGAGAAAATGGAAGGGAAAAGGTTGTATAAACCTTGTCTCAAGTATTTTGGGCTATTCATTTTTTTTTAACCCTTTTTCATTTTAGGCTCTCTGAACACTCACAAAGGAATTCTTACCTTCTACTTCCTTTCTACCTAAAACCCTACTCATCTGTCAATTCAAAGACCTAACAGTTTATTGTCTCACAGCCACTTTCTTCTCACTTCCTCTACTGGGTCCTGTACCCTTGGAGGAGATGACATATAGAATAGAACACAGTAATGCTAATTATATCACTGAATGAAGTGTCTCCCTTGCCTTAATTCTGCTTGCTTCCTTTCTCTTCCCCTACTTCCTCTTGGCACTAACGGTGAATAATTGCTGACTACCCAGATGTTTCTCCCACTCTGCTCCATGCTACTCAGAACTTTTTGCATAGGCAGTCAGTTGTATTGCTGCTGCTGTTTTATAATCCAGAGAGAACAAAGGATCCCACATTTCTGATATAGTGTATGTGTGCATGTGGCAGTTCCATCTACTTATCATTGATGTATATGGACATGTGCCCGGTTACTTCTAGCCCTTCCTGCTTATAACTCTGTTTTCTATTACACTATTCTTCATTCTGTTTTGCATATTGGAGCTGACTGTTTTGTTGCTGAGTGTTGCTTTTCTGAATATTGCCATTCCCCTTGGAGTATTGCTATTGCTTCTACTCTTCGACTTTTCCCTTTAGTTTTCCTTCTGTATCACTTTTCATTTGCAGGAAGTAAGATAATAAGACTTCTCCCCTCCATTCTTTATGGTTACAAACATTGTGGCTTTGTCCTGAGATTTTTGCATCAAGAGTTTGACATTTGCTCTATGACTTCTTGTCATTTGGATGGTGATACAGCATCACAACGTTGTGAACTTGTATCATCACCGAAGTAAATGAAGGACACTTGGGTTTATATCCTGGAAATTGCATCAAAATTGGACCTTTCTATTTATATAAGGAGTGGGTGGGGTTCCCTGTCACCATGGAGGAATAAAATATATGCTTAGTGACAGGACATGTTGCATCTTACTTTCTTATGAAGGACACTTTGTGGCTTTCCTGTCATATTTTTTCTAAAATTCCACTCTTCTGCCCTTTCTTACATTGTAGGGCTTTATGTACATAGAACAACTCTTGCCTTTCCTTCAATTCTTTGACCCCTTTGCTTTGCCAACAAAACAGACTGGCTATCTAGTAGAAATATAACAGTCCATGAAAATTTCTTATTAAAAACAAAAAGGGATGTGGAAACAGAAGTCGAGCAATTTAAAATATCGAGTTTCTGTTTTTGGATTGTGTGTTTTGTATCTTAGGTGCACAAATATTGCAGAGATGGGGTTAAATAAATATTTAGACTAGCGTGTTTGTTTGCTGCTGACACCTTCTTGCTACTTTAAGTTGTCTCTTTGATAGTGAGCTTTGCTGATCATGTGAAAAAGACTCTTATCCAAACCATGTGATGCAGTTGAGTTCAAGGCATTTTTTGCCCATCAGCTCCCCGAGGTATTGTGAGGCATAATTTCAGCATAAGCAAAAAAGAAAAAAGAGACAAATTTCACTTATAAAGCTTCTGGCAAAACTCGCTTCCCAATCCACTATGAGAACTGTATTGACATAATGACATAACTATGAAAAAGTAGTTCTTTCTCTACCATTTGTGAGATGAGTATTGACTATTTTTTTCTCCCAAGATGAAAACAAATGTTCAGTGTGTTACCAGTTATACCTCATACTGGCAATGAATTATTGGCAATTAAGTTGTCAGAATTCCATACTTTATCTTGTAAATACAAAAAAAAAAGTTTCAGTAATATTAATGGTGGAAGGCATTACCGAAGACGAAGAAATTGAGTGGCACTGAATTCTCTGCTCACTCCACTGAGCAATAAAAAGAAAAAAACACACAGCAAATCAAGATAAAAGTATAAGGACAAATTCACAGCTGACATATGCCATTGCAACTCTTTTGAGGATCCCAAACCTGCTTTTATAGATGTGGTACACCCCATTGCATATTTTGGAAAACCATCTACTAGGTTGTTTACATGTGCATAGTACTATAGTAGATATTCCAAGATATGTGGCAATCTTCGCTGTGTATCTGAGGGCAGGATTGAAACCAGTTTCTATGTGAGCATGGGGAAATTTACGCAAAATTCAAACTGGTTCTAACACTGTTTTAGCTACACTGGTGTTTGAAATTGGTGGGAGTAGCAGTATAGACAAAGCATCAGAGTCTGCAATCATTTTTACAGCCATTTTACTTATATCTGCTGAAAAGTAAGTCTAATAGAATGTTTTGGCTGTTTTTGCAGCCTTAATATTGTTTAAACATAGTTGGATTTAAAAAATAAATTAATTTACTTTTTTTTAATCTTAGAGACCCTCAGACAAACACATATTCAGGCAGCTGTTTAAAAGCAAGTACTGTAATATTCACTCATTAAAACATGTATTTTTAAGAGACCTGAAAATTAGCAACATACATTTGCCTGGGAGACCAGAACTCCTCTTTGTGAGCTATTCCAGTCCATCATTCAAATGAGCATGTGTGTGTTCTTGGTTTACCAAGCAATAGTTACATGATAGTCGGGGATGGCTTCTTAGAAGCCATTACAATCGGTTATGCAGTTACATAGTTACAAATATTTTTAGAACACAGGGCCATCAGTGTCTCTCTTCTAAATATATATTCAGACATGTAATCTTGTTAAACTTCCTGGGGAAAATAAGTTACTGTCTACTTCTATTTAGAAAACATTGAGATATATGTAAAATATTTCAATTGCCACTTCAAGGCTTGATCACGTGGAAAATACCCATGAGCTCCTGAGCTATACAGAAGGGTACAGAATTTGGTTCTACAACAGACTGGCTTATTCAAGAGAAGTTTAGTTTTCTAAATTGGAGATGAGCCCCAGTGTGGTGGGGTGACATGGAAAAGAGCTCAGTGCATGTAATTGAGCTTCCTACACTCCACAACTTCTGTCCTGGCCCAGCCCCTGTTGCCACTTAGAGCTTGGATGTCTACAAGGGGAAATTTAGCAATATAATTAGACTGCTGTAGTTATACTGGTATAACTTGCAGTGTGAACATTCTTATTCTGGAACTCAGCTCTCATCTCTGTTCAAGTCTAGGGGTTGAACTTGATTAGAAACAAACATTTGTGAAGCAATGCATTAGAAGTTAGCGTGTGGCTGAAAATTCAAGTCTATACAGATCCTGGGACTCCATGACTTTCATGGGTCATCAGCCGTGGAGATTGCTTTCTGGTGACAGGGTCCCTTATTCCATTTGCAGGAGCCTCTTAAGACCTCAAGTGCCTAAGCAATGGTATTCTTAAAATGCTTTTTTTTTTTTCATAGTTTGTCCAAAGCAGATACCTGAAGAAGCGTCTTCCAATCGAGACTCAAGCCTTACTAACACACCAGTGCAAAGCAAGCTAGTGTCTTCCTTCCAGCAGCACACCAAAAAGGCACTTAAACAGGTAAGCTGGTATTTATTGATAGTCAGGTGGCTTTCTTTTTAACGTGTTGCCTGACTATTTAAACAAGAAATCAGTGTAGAAACACCACAGAAAAATGTTAAGACATTTCTAATAAAAGTACCAGCAACTTATTTAGCTGGACATTTTTTTCTTGATCTGTAAACATCTGCAATAAGAAGAACTGTTGTGGGGGAAAATTTTGAAGCTTTTGTGTTCTGTGCACTAGTGCTGTAATCCTGCTTATTATTGTATACTTGAGGGTTTTTTTAAATGGCTTCTATGCAAGTGAAAAAGTTTTGTATGCTTTATTGTTACTTCCTAGGTTTTGTTTATATAAGCACTTTTGTTGACAAACTTTTTTTAAAAAAAATTTTGCAAAACAGATTTTGTGAGAGGTTGTAGCACTCAGAGGTGAATGTACTTGCTGTTCAGTTTCTCTATAGAGTGTGGCCCCACATACTGTATTTAATGCAAAAATACAGTACCTGAGAATGTCTTTGTTTTGAATAAACTGAGTTTGGATGGGTTTGGGTTGCACAATAAATAATAAAGCTTAGAACAAGTGACTGAATATTCATGGTTTGATGTAAACTGAACACTATAATGATGTGAAAAATTGGCTCAAAACAGTGTTAATCAATTTCATGTCAGAGCAGATTGAAAGAAAAACCACAGAAATGCTTGTTTAAAAAACATCACTCTAATCCTGCTATCTATTTGCCAAACGCAGAAATGGTTTCCATTTCTTAAAAATTTTATTTTATCAAATAAAATAAAAATTTTTTGTTAAATATTGGTGTAATGAGGTTGGGTTGGTTAATTTTCCCCTTATTTCGTGTCCAGGTTACATTTAGCAATAAAAATGGTAGTTGAAGCCAGCTATCTCAAACACTAGGCCATTCCAGAGTTATTAAATTAGACCACAGCTCAGCAAAGCACCTAAGCATGTGCTTATGTCCATCCCTGTTCAGCAGAACAATTTAGCACTAAAGGTTAAGTCCCATTAAAGTCAATAGGATTTAAGCATGTGCTTGAAGTTAACTTGAAGCACATGCCTACATGAGCTGCAGAATGGGGTGGTTTGCTAAATTGGAGCCTTCAGGCTTCTGGGTCAGCAGAAGTAGAGCGGCGGATGCAGCAGGCTTTACTAGTTGTGTGGAGTATGGGTGAGTTGTGAGTGAGGCAAACAGTGTCTGGAAACTTCATTTAATTTAGATTTTTTGTAATATGTGAGTGTACTGAAATTTGAGTAAGCCACTACTGTTTTACATGAACTCCTAATCTTTACAGCAGAAAAGAATCACCATTTATCTAAACACTTAGGGTCAGATTTGTCACTTACTTGCTTTTGGGGGAGTGAAGGGGATGGAAAATGCTGAAAACAAAAATAAAACAAATGAACAGAGACCAAAAGCAATTACAGAAGCTTAATTAACATAAAAATTCATATCCGAGATGGAAGTCCTTGCAAAACTGCCCATAAGGCAGTAGGTTTGCAAGAGCACCAGAATGCTAAGTAGTCAATAGAAAGAATGGAAAGCAGCCTTAATTAAGATTATAGTAATTAGATCTTATGCTTCAGATTGCGAGTTTATTATTACAGCTGTCTGTGAAGAATGTTTTATCCCATGTACAACATTGTACAATTGGTTAGGTGTATTGAGGTGATGAGATTTTTTACACTTTTTTTACTTGCCTATGAAGCATCGAGTATTGGCCAGGCAAGATGCTGTATTTGATTTAATCCAGTATTGTAAATCCTATAAAATAGGTGAATGAACTTTCAATAGCAATTTTATTCAGAAAATTGCTGTTGAAAGTTTATTCACCTACCATATATCCTCTCTTCAGGGTTTCTGTTGCTGTTATGGACACATAATGTGTCATCTTTGCACAAAGAAGAGCCTGCAGTATGTTTGAATACACAGAAACATTAGGCAATTGTATGTGACACTCCACCAACTGATATTAACTTACTGGTTCTCGTCTGCAATAACAAGAAGCTAAACCTTCATTGTGCTCTTAGTAAGAGCTACTAATGCTGTACAATGTCACAGTGAGCATTTGCCTGGTTGTACATTTATTTTTTCTTTAATAAAACCATCCCTCACGAAATGACTGTCCACAAAGCATTCTTTCAACCATTTTCCCCCTTCATCATATTAAATAAGGGCAAGATTTTTTTAATTAATATTGATCTTTTGTTTAATTTTTGCCCACTAAATGTAAGTGAAAGTCCAGCTGATAATGTGAAATATTACTTGAAGATCTGAGCTGAGGTGAAGCGGTCTGCTCTGTTAATATAGTTATTAAACCAAACAAATCATATGGAGTTGGCTTTAAAGTATTATGTTGGAGTTTGGGTTGTTTTTGATAAAGATTTCTAGAAATCCTTTGTTTTAGACCACTAAAAGTAGGTTTAGCTTCCCCTGCAACATTCTGCATCTTAGGACATGCTTCCCCTTGTGTACTGGAATTTGTTCCAGTATCACCATGCTTCTGCGGCTATGCCTGTAGTGTGAGGAGGAGGGCACCTCTTGAGCCCTGGGTCCTGCCCATGACTAACTCAGAATGGCGGTGGGGGATGGGAACTGTTGCTTAGTCCTTACTGCGCTCTGCTTTTCAGGGATAGGGGAGGTTGCAGTGCTAGTCCACTCTAAAAGTCTGTGTCATAGCTCACATCTCGTGTTCTCATCTTGCAAGGCCTGTGTTAATGTCCCAATCTCTGGAGCTTTTTAGCATTGCCACCCTCTCTTTTGTTACACTTTTGGGGTAAGTGTTTTGAGTATTTCAGTCTTGGGTGTGTTTCCAGTATGTGGCACATTTGTCTCCCCTTTTGTGGAGGGTGGGGGATTTTCACCACCTGACTTTGCTCTTGATTATAACTGAGTGGCGGGTTTAACAACTTGATCCTAGTTTATGATGGCTTGCTCTAAAATAGTTCCTGAGGTAGCACTCCCATTTATGTGTGGCTTCTGCTGGCAGGTTCTCCTTTGCTAGATTCTTATTTCTTTCTTGCTTTTGGAGGCAGGTGCATGCTACACAGTTCTTCTTACCAATACTATTGGGCAGGGGATGAGGCATGCATTCCCATGTTGTTTTGCCCTTTATGATCTTGTCTACACTAGAGGATTTTGGCCTACTAACCAGTGTGAGGATCTCCTACCATGCAAGTAACAATCCACACACACAGTTGCTACCAATGGACCACAGGTGATCACAGCACTATGTAAGTTGCACTTGCTGTGAGCAAGGTTAACTCAAGTACAGACCTCAAGTTCTGGCATAGCAGCTGCGATGGGCAATTACTCCATCCTCCACTGCGCCTCTCTGGTAAAATTTCTGTTCTATTGATCTGGGTCAAGTTTTCTGCAAGTCCCTCACCTGTACTGAATGAGCTACTGTACCCACTTTAGATCTCATGGCACACACGTTCTCACCAGCATCCACTTCTTTGTGATTGCTACATTTACCAAGCTGCTCTTGGGGCTTTTCTCAGAAGAAGCCATCATATGAGCATATCTACCGACTGGTCTGATGCAGATGACACAGGACGCTTGTGAACCACTAGGATGGTGAAGTGATAGTGTCTGCTGAACTCTGTTGTGACCAGGTGTAAAAGCATTTTGCCCAGGAGCTTATCACTTGCTCTGGGACAGTGCCAGGAGAAGATAAAGAGTCTGAAGCTGCAGTGCAACAATGCCTGGGGTGCTAGTAGACCTTCCAGGCAGGGAAGAAAATCTGCCTCATTTTTGGCCCTTTGGAATTAATGGAGCAGAGTTCCTTTTTGACAGCAGTGTGCTGTGGGTAGAAGAGGAGGAGGACGCCATCATCCAGGCCTAGAATCAGAGTGAGGGCCAGGACATGTCTGCGACTGTGCTGGGGCCTCAAGCCCTCTTGATTGAGACAAGTTCCAGAGACAGCAGCCAAGTGGGTTTGGGAGGATGTGATGCTCAGGAAATAAGGGGACCTCCACACAAGGTATGTTGCTGCTGCTGTTTTTACTGCTTTGGGCTTTATCTGCATGCTTGATGGCTGGGTTCATCTGAGTGCTGCTATAACTGTTGTGAAATGGGTAGATGCAATCTCTCGTGAGGCTGGAAGGAACCCCTCCACTTGCTTTGTTGTGTTCCACCAGTGAACACTGCCAGATTCAGGAGCCCTCTCCATATGCCCCCCGCACAACACCCCTTTTGTCAGCTACACTTGCTGTTCGAAGTAAGGATACAAGTACTTGGCAAATTCTGCATAGGTGTTTCTGAGCCATGCCACAAGACCAGTCTCAACAGGGTGACCAATCAGGGAAAACTGAAAAATAAAGTTACAGAACCACAGACATATTGAAAATGGCAAAATGGAATGCTTTCAGAAAGCTACATGATGGGGACTATGGCTTGGTCCACATGCTGCTTTTGGGTAAGAGGACATAAAGCACTTAGCTATTCCCAACCACATTTCTTGTCTTTCTATCATGTACATGGGACACAAGCCTAAGCTATTATCCGGTAGCAACCTGCTTTAAAGCAGCTATAGGCCAGAGCAGTGAAAGCATCGCTCTGTCAGTCAGCACAAGATAGCGGCCTATCAGATAATGGTGTAATTTAGCCCAAAAGTTTCCCAAATATTCTAAAAAAATATTCTGGTAAAGACAGTGCTGTAGGCATTCATCATTAATTCAGTTTCCAAACTCCCTGGCCCTCGCTTCACTTTCTTCAGCTCCATTGCACATCCTATGTTACCAATTGAGAAAATAAGTAAGAGCAAATATATTAGCCTCTCTTCCCCTTGCCCCCCTCACGCTCACCTTAATAGCAATTTCTTTACTTTGCTACAATCTAGTGCAGAGGGTCTTTCCAGGCATCTTGCAGTCTGCAGTAAGTAACCCAGTATTAGTCTCACTGTACTGCAACATACATCCTTTACCTCCTACCAGGAACACACTCAGACCCCTTGCAGCTAACCCAAAATTTCATCGGGGAACAAAAATAAATAAATGTTAG